TTTTAGTTACACACCACTTAATCAACAGACACACACATGCACATTGATTTGCTTCATGTTTTGACTACTGCTATGACCAGCTGCAAAGCTGGTAACAGAGACGTCTCGGTTGACGTTTCTGTGTAGTATGGGGCTAGCCCAACCGAGAGGATATAATGTATAGGTCTGGTGGGTTCAGGGTCTTTCATCTTACATCTGCCTGCGAGCAGTTTGGAGGTGCAAGATGCCTGAGCGTGTAATGTTAATTTTTACCTGTGTTCATGGAATAAATCAGCACTGTTTTGTAGTTACTTGGACTGCCTCGTCTCTCAGAGTCAGTATGGTAAAAAGTACCGGGTAAAACACTTGCAACCCCTGTAGCTAGATTGGTGCAACGCTACCTGTTGGAGTAAATTTCATTACTTTGTATGTGGTAGTGTGGGCGATGATGCAGCGACCACCATTTGGATTTACTGACCTTGGAGCTACTTGAAAGGGAGTGATGTTTTTACTACTCAGTAGGACTTAACAGCAAGTTTAAAAACCACATGTTGCATGTCTGTTAATGCACTGTTTCTGTAATGTTAGAAAGAATTGTTGTAAGACTGGAGAAGTTACTACATCTACATTATTCCAGTTAAAATATGGGGTTTCTCAATTATGCACTTTGTTTTGTAGTGTTACACATTTCCTTTTGTCGGTTCATATACCATTGTTTACCTAACTATGGAGCAGAAATTCAAATTAATTAATACGTTTGCGGTTCGTTGTGCTGTCCACTTGCAACACAACACTGGAAACGGGAGCTGAGCATGTTCACAAACTATCCTCTCATTTTTAGAAAGAGACCTCTGGTGGTGTTCTGAAATAATTACAGACTTTTTGGCGTTATGAGGGGTGCCGAGGTAATCTAGAGGTACCCAAGATTAAACATGAAATGGCTGGAAACAAGCAAAATGAGCAGCCATGAGGACTTTAACTAGTAGAACTTTTAGTCCTAAATCAAAAAGTGAAGTCCTCAATCATTTTACCTCTAAACCAGTCTGTCTGTGTTTACATAAGGTGCTTATAATGCTAATAGTTGAGGTGTGAAGATGCTGACTTTTAACCTATCATGGGCCACAGCTCTGCATGCACCCACCCCTTCCCCCCTTGCATTCCAGTAACTTGATTTTAGTACTATCTCCTGGGTGTGCTGAAATGCAACTCCCAGAACACATCTCCAAAATGGCTGGAAACACAGAACATTGGACAAGCATTACACTGCTCGACATGTTTCAGTAGGTTCCTATGATGGAAAACCCTATTGATCTGTTTTAAGTTGTATTTTCTCTGGATGACTGCTTTGAAGAAGAACCCAAAATGGTTTGTTACAACAGGCCCTTTTCACAGCAGATAAGTACAGCTGTTAGGGGTGACTTTAACAATGGCTCAGTTCTATTCAGTGACTATGTGACAATGATCCATCATTCACAATACCAGAAAAAAATTTAATCAGCCATCATTAATTTTGTTATTTAAACCTGTGCTTTTCCTACTGTCACATGAGAAAATGTCCTCTGAAAAAGGCCCATTGCAATGCTGCCCAGAAAAATTACAGTTTGATATTTGCTCCCAATCTTTCAGCCCTATTTATGCTGATTATCACTGGTGATATGTGATGTTGCTGCACTCTGTACTGTATTTATGCAAAGCTGCAGTATAATGTTGATCATTTGTCCTGACTTCTTTCTCTATTTATGTCTTTACTCAGAGCTCTACATGACATGAAAAGAGGATGCCACAGCTGTCAAAAACGCATTTGCTGTTGTTTGACTCAACTATAAATGAGTACAGGTCAGAAATGTATATAGGTATAGGACGGTATTCATGTTCAGTTCACCCAACCAGCAGGTTGACTGTGAGAGAATCCCCTGGACAAAACCTGTGTGAACATGTGGAGAAATTGCAAACTCCAGGCCTGATATTCAAACGCATTATCAGATGTCAACTAAGCCACTGTGCTTCCACTGACATCATCGGCCTTGTAATCTGTGCTGAAGTGGTGGTGCACAGAAATGAGCACCACTCACAACTGTGAACTTAGAAAAAATGTGAATCAAAATATGAAAGCATCATATATAGAACAAATATAAAAAATTGATGAAGTTGGTGAGTTTAAAGCACAAGGCCAGCATATGTCTTTCACTTTACATTGCTTGCAGTTTAACTAGACATTCCTCAGGCAGTTTTGATGCTCACTTGGCTGTGGCATCCTCTTTTCATGTCATGTAGAGCTCTGAGTAAAGACATGCAAAATAAATAGAGAAAGAAGTCAGGACAAATGATCAACATTATACTAAAATATGTATTTTGTTGTATGTCCAATTGCCTGTTTGGTGGGAACCCAGAGTGTTCCTTGCCACTCCAATAAGCAAACACTTTTGTGAAAGTGCAGGTTTCCTCTTTATGTTGAATCAGACAGAAGCACCTTTTACACAGAGATCTCAGCAAACTAATAGTGTTTTGACTCTTCTTCAAGGTGGCTTTTTTTGATTTAAGCCCTTTTATACTGACCCTTAAAAAGCTGCCAAACTGCCACTCCTTTGCCACCACAGTGAAACGGTCACAAAATAACGGTTAGATTCTCTGGTTCACTTTGTTCTTACTGACACCACTCCGTCTCCTCATTCACTCTCTAGCTTTCTCAACCACCTTTACTCTCTCTCTCTCTCTCTCTCTCTCTCTCTCACACACACACACACACACACACACACACACGCTTAGATTTCCAACCCACATTCCACTTTGTCTTGTTTATATAGGAGGTGGGGCGAACTTATCTCAGCAAAAATATTACCTCTAGTTGCAACATTTTGGAGGGTCAACATGGACCCCCCCCATGCTGATACAGTAGCTTTTATACAGAACGGCTAGTGGAAATCTCCCGCATTGAATGAGCATTGTAAAAGGGGCTAGAGACATGCCATGACTGTGCCTATTTTTAGTAACTAGATGCCTATATGACACAGCACTACACACTTCAGCCAGTTCCTAATGACTGGCTACCAATGAGCTTTGATGAACTGTGCTATATATAAAATAATTTAATGTGGTTTTCAGATGTTAGGCCAAGTTCTGTTATTGGTGCAGGTGTGTTTGTGTGCATTTGTGTACTATTTTGTGATTTTTTTTTTTCATTTTTGCATCCAAGAAAGTGACATAAACTACATTTTGATTGACATATTTGATTTTTTTGATATTTAACACAAGCCTCGGTCAACACATTGCCAGAGGCAAAACTGCTGCCTGCAACCAAGAGAACAAGTGCAAGAGCAAAGAGACAGAGTGCACAGCCCTATTTGGAAGGTTAAATCTCACCCATGTGAGATTTCTTTTGCGGCTTGACAGTGACTTGTAGTGCATTCACTCACTGGCAGGGAGTTTCTTAGATTATTTGTGTGTCAGTCAAAAGGTTGTGTTAATCAATCAGATGCTGAAATGGGAACAGAGTCACCAACAGACCAACAGATCAGTTAACAAAGCAATAAGGTTGACAGGGATTTATTGTGTTTACCTTAAGTGTTGAATAAAGGACACAAACAATGACCTACCTTTTGTTTGTGGGCTGCCAGATAACCATGCATTTTCTCTGGCTGAAGGAAGGAGGGGCCACCATGCACAGCAAAGCGAACATCCAGCATTCGCTCTCTCACATCTATTAGGCTAAAGATGTTGACATCATCAGGTGGAATGGAAAGCATCTCAGACAGGAAATCCACCAGCAGCTCATAGCGGCTCCGCTGTTTCCCTCTCAGTTCAATGAACTCCTTTGCTGTGATGTCTGAGAAACACACATATACATATGAAACCATAGTCTGTATAGAAGGGGCCTCATTATTTCTATCTGTGCTCAAGGATAAAACCAATTATTTTTAAACTGGGCCCAAGTGCTAAGCTAAAAATAGTCTGGAACATTCAAGACTGAGGTCGTGATTATAAATCAGTGAAAATGGACTCTTTTTATCTATGTGTGTGTGTGTCTATATGTTTGATTGTATGTGCATGTGATTGTAGGAAAAGGTAATGTTTGTGAGTTGGATTTTAATTTCCTAACTGTGCCAGCTAAAGGTAATTACACACTTGACAATTGTGGTTCAATTTCTAATCACACTCAAAAGCAGAGTCCTGAGAAAGAATGAAATCTGGCCCATGATTTATTTCATAACACCGGTCCAGTGCCTATGGTTTAGAATATCAGAATTGTATAGTTACAGTTATATCCATAAAATTAGTACAAAACAAGATTATTATTAAGGTTAATCAAGTGAACACTAGTGTTTGTCAGGATTAGGAACAGATTTGATGTGTCACAGCTGACATAAGGCCATAGACCATCAGGTAAAAGCTTGGCTCACTTTCAAAGAACTTTAGGCCAGTATACGCCTGATCTACAGTACCTTTAGAGCAGGCTTCTCAAAGTCAATCCAAATTCAGCCCAAACCTCATAATGAATTATATGTTTCCTACTTTGAAAAAAATGTTTTATACTTGTTAATTCGGTACATTAGCATCCTTGTTAGAAAATTCTTTAGCTGCAAAATATGCCACATTTTATCTTCTCTCTACCCACTCTGAGTAACAGTACAGAGGAATATCCAGCCAACTGCTTGAGTAGCTTGACAATCAATCACACAAACATTTGTTCAAACAATGATTAACTGCAAGTCATTCCTGTTGCCAACTTACTTACCAAGGCACCTCGTTTTTTTTTCAACATAGAACTCTTGTTGTTGTTTTTACATTAATTCTGATGCATCACCTTTTTTACATTCATTTGGCTTTAGTTGCTTGCTGTACCTAGGTGTTGATATGGTAGGGGAAACCCTGGTGATGACAAATAAAACAGACAATACACAGGCACTTTCACCACATTTGTGGTCTTGACTGGTCTCAAAATAAAATTCCGACTTCACATTGTCCGAGACTGAGACAAGACCAAGTAAACGTGGCCAATTCCAAGACGAGACCTTCAAAAAGTGGTCTCGAGACTGATCTCAAGTGCTGCAATACTACCCCTTGTGCTCTATGGATGGGAAGAACTTCAGTCTTTTGTCTGCTTAACTTTGTTGTGCTGATGATGCCAACTCTCTTCTACAAGAATGTTAATTTTAAACTAAAGCTTGCAAGGTTATAATCCAATGTGAAATATTTTCACCATTAACAAGACAGAAAGGCAGGGTGACTAACTGGGGTGTAAAGCATTTTATGTTTAAGTATCTGTGACCAGTTCTATAGTCCTGCTATAAGACCTGAGCAATGAGTCCCAGCCAAGTAGTGGGTTGGTGTTTGAGCTGTACTGCAGCATGATGCATTTGCCTTTTTATTTAACTGTGCCCACTGTTAGTGTCCATACATGCCATGTATTTTAAGTAGATTAACAAAGTAAGCAGCCAGTGAGTTGCATTAAAGTAATTAGCTTACGATTAGCAATAGAAACATACAGTATTATATATATATATATATAGACACACACACACACATATATACATATACATATATATATATACACATATATATATACATACACAATAAAAGAGTAAGTGTGTTTTAAAAATTTTGGTTTCGGTTTTCGGCCAAGTGCATCCTAAATTTTACCAGTCATGTTCTGCATTCATTCTACAGCTCTTTTATATGCCAGTTCATAATTCTATGTGTGTGTATTCCCCCAATCATGTAATTCCCCCCCCCAGTAATGTCTGCCTAAATGACAGGCTAAAGTCACACAGTATGTACATTGCAACATTGGTAGGTGTAATTTTCCCTTATGTCTATAGTAATCTAGAAGCGATTAATTCCTAATGAGAATTCAGTGTCAGTGGTTGTCTTCTAAAGTTGCACTGTTGTCAATATATGTGGCCATGTCAATATTTTAAGACACAGCTTGAGAGACTTGAAACAGCTATTACTTCACTGATTAAAAATTAGCCAGCGGGCTAACACTGAAATGCTAGAAAATACAGGGTTATTCAAAAAGAATGGACCGATTTCATTACGCAATACTTTATTAGAGAAAAGTAATACAAAACTCCAGCCAAGTCACAAGTATTCTACTCATAATCAACTTTTATTTCCTGTCTTACAAATGTTCAATGTGGCCACCACCTGCAGCAAGGGCAACATCAATGCGATAAGAGAATTCCTCCCAGGCGCGTATTAGCATATCAAGATCCACTGAGTTGACTGCTGTTGTTGTGGCCACATTGAACACTTGTAAGACAGGAAATAAAAGTTGATTATGAGTAGAATACTTGTGACTTGGCTGGATTTTTGTATTACTTTTCCTTAATAAAATATTGCGTAATGAAATCGGTTCTGTTAAGGTTAGTCCCCCTCACCATGAGGGTGAGGGAGAACTAAGGTTGGACTCAAGAATGCCAACCCAGGTGCTAGTCAAAAAAAGGAGGTATAATGGTGGGAAACGCACAGTAACAACAAAACGTATCAGAGTCCATGTACAGAAACCAGCAAAGTAGGGCAGAGATGGTGGAGGAGACCAGGACAACCAGGGGAGTAGACAAGCTAACGGCACAAACCAGGAGAGTGGGAGGATCAGGACGGACAGGTGAATAGACGACTAACCAGGAGGACTGGCGAACGATAAAGGACATCCACAGCACAGAAACTGTCAGCGTGGAAAACAAAATGATGTATAATACAAACCATGAAAATAGGTCAGTTACAGGGTATGCGAGTTAGCTAAGGTAAGTAAGGTAATGCTCCGGCAACGATGTTGCGTCTACCTGCCTCCTTATTTATACCTCTGGCAATCAGTGGGATGCTCCCCAGCTGTGTGCACCGACAAACAAGTCGCTAATTACCAAATGCAACACAGCTGAGGTGCAGATCCCGCAGGTCGAGAGAACAGAGGAGAGAAAGACGGAGGAGAGGCAGGTTGTGCCGAGCGGACCTGACAGGTTCATTCTTTTTGAATAACCCTGTATATAAACAAAAGAGAAAAAAAAGTGTCCTTTAACATGAGAACATTGACATAACATTTAATATAAGAAAACGTCCCCATGTCACTAAAAACGTGTTCTCAGAATACAAGAACACACACATGCACACAGTACTGTATATAATGGGGTAGGCAGGCTGATTATAGTTTTATAAGTGTGTAGAGGGAGACAGAGCCTGGGCATCAAGAGACAAGACAGGGGGGCTCAGTGGATACAGCATGAGGGATCAAGGCAAATGTCAGCTTCCATCAGTCAGTCCAGTGGGAGAAAGAAGAACACAGGCAGACTGAGAGACAGTCAGCGAGGACTGGGGCTTGGGGGTAGAGGGTAGTAACTGCTAACACATAGTGGCAGCCTTTACACCTGGCTTTGATCCAACCTCACAATTCACTACTGCTTCCTCCTTCCCAGAGGCTTCACTGGAGCCAGGTGTCAAGGCCGAATTACACAGACATGCACCTGCCTGTAGGCTTGTGTTTTCAGACAAAAGGGAAACATATCCTGTTAATGTAGAAGCATACTGTGGTGAGACAAACTGAAGAAAACCAGGAAGAAAGGATAGGGTTTTTTTGGTCATTTGATGTGCTTCTTCCTGACAGGCCCAATCATGACCAAACACAGTGAATCAATTTGTTCTTTAGATCAACTCAAACAATTTAAGGATTTTTCATTTTTGCAACCCAGAGTCTTGAAAACTACATTGAAATATTTTTGAAAGGAACCAAACTTTCAATATTTCCACAAAAGAGAAAAAAAAATGTCATTGTCTCTTCAAAAACAGCTGCTGTCACTTCCATGAAATTCTACTAAGAAATACATTTTTACTTGAGAAACAATTATTTAAAGGTAGAGAAAAAAATAACAGTATCTGAATCAGCTATTCTATGATGTTTCTGTGCCTTTCTGTTCTTAGCTTTTTATCATAATAAATATAACACCTATAGCTAATGAAGTGAGTACACTGCTAATTAATACAATAACATATTGCACTATATGCACTTTAATTGTATTCCATATAGATTTACTCTAAAATATGTTACAATTCATGACTTACTTTAGTTTCCCCATACGATACTTGTGGAGAACAGCAACAAAAACCAAAAGGTTCACCTGAGAATGTTATTGTTTTAAACCATTTTTCCCCCCAAAGATCCCACTCAGTGATTAAAGGAACTAATTTGTTTGCAGATTTACCCAGAATCAGAGAAATGGCTGACTTTAGTTTAATCTTTATTAAGCAAAGCACATTTACAGATTCAGGGAGTTTTAACTGACCACAAAGACTGAAGGAATGCTAATGCAGGTTAATGTTCCTCAAATATGATAATTTGCAGCTATTCTCAGCTTAGACATTATTGTAAATTGAAAATTTTGCACTGTTGGACAGGCAACACATGCAATGTAACTTCGACAGAATTTTTTTTTTTGCTTGGCATTTCAAATGAATGAAAGATTAAGTCAAAAAAGACTGAAAGACTAAAGGGATATGTTACCAGTTTAGTAGTATAATAGTGTAAAGTTGGGTAACTTAATAGGAATTGTCAATCTAAATGCAGCAGAGATTGTAAAAGATACTATGACTAATAGTCCTACTGCATCAACCTCCAAAAATCCTTGATCCTACATTTCCCATCATGCACCCTGTCTAACCAGTAAATGTCCAGATCTTTAATAATGGACATCTAGTGCTGAGGATATGCCTCATTTATATTGGCATGGTGGTGTGTGGTAGAAGGCCTGGTTAACACCTCCCCTCTATCCTATGAATCAAGTTTACCAAGTACACAAGGTGTTTAAACTATGCAATGATGTTTGAGACATTTAT